AAATCTTTGGCAATTTCAAATGCTATTTTTGGCTATCATTTTTCCCCTCTATTTTCATTTGTGTTCAGTACAGTTATTTAAATTGTTTCCTAAACATAAAAAATGATAAAATAATAAATCATATATATAATCAGAAGTATAATAATAAGAAATATATATAACAAGTGTATCTAATAAGAAACCCAAAGATTTTTAAAATGCTGTAAATTTTGAAACCCATAAATTTTTGAAATTATTATCTCATGGGACCAGTATTTCTTAATCGCTGTGAGCCACAAAGTGAGTACTGTTGCTATAGAATCAATAATTTGAGCAACAGGAAAAATTCAGATCTTTTCCAATAGTATAATATCTATCTTGACTCATTGCAAAGACTGGAAGTGCTTGATCAGAGAAAGGGAGGACCTAAGAGAACCCAACCCCTTCAGTTCTCTGAACTTGTGAGCTGCACAGAGGATTGTATCCGTGCATCCCAGGCACTCTTCCTTTGACAGCTGTGGTGAGTGGCCTCATCTCCAATTGCACTGGCAACCACATCTGTCAGCATCATTATTTTTGCCAGTCTTCCTCCCTCTCACTTGGAACCCAGGACAATCTCATTGTTAACTCAAACTTCTTCTTAAATAGACTCTAAAGCTGAGTGGCAATCTTTCAAAGTCTTTGGAAAGCTCATATTTTCACACAGCATATCCTGATCACACACACTGCACTTCTGTTCCCTCCTTTCAGCTACTTCTAGGCTCTCCGCCATCATGTCCCCATCCCAAATTCTTTTCTTCTTTTTTCATATAAGTACCATGTTTGTGGTACCAAGGGCGAATTCTCACCAAGGATCAAGCTATTTATGCATAAATCTATTTCCTAATGCAGATTCTAGAATGTGATTACATATTCCGTAATTTTCACTAGTCTCCTTTACATTCATTGTGATCATTTATGTGTAGTTAATACAAATTTTGCAGGACTATTCTTAGTATCCAAAGATTAGGTCATGTTAATTTCAACCAGACTAGAACTTAACATATAAAAAATCCTATTAAATATCTCTAAATTCATCTAAGTACCTAATTATGTTTTCAAATTGACATTTTGTTCTTCAAGTAATGCCTACAAGTATACCACTATTTATAAAGTTTAATTTCTGAATGAGTAGACAACACTCTATTCTTCATCTGCAAATCAATTTTAGGACTGAAACTATATAGCTCAGTGGTAGTCTTGCCTATCATACAAGTTACCCCAGGTCCAATCCTTGGAAATGTGAGATATATATTTCTAGAACACATTCTCAATTTTAAAAATTAATTCATTTATTTTTTACTTATTACAATTTATTCACTTTGTATCCCAGCTGTGGCCCCCTCCCACATTCCCTCCCAATCCCAACCTCCCTCCCTCATCTCCTCCTATGACCCTCCCCCCAGTCCACTGATAGGGGAGAACCTCCTCTCCTTCCATCTGACCCTAGCCTATTAGGTCTCATCAGGACTGGCTGCATTGTCTTCCTCTGTGGCCTGGTAAGGCTGCTGCCCCCTCAGGGGGAGGTAATCAAAGAGCAGGGCACTGAATTCATTTCAGAGACAACCCCTGTTCCCCTTACTAGGAAACTCACTTGGAAAATATAACACACCAATAATTCTTCATTCTTTGGAGGTAGTAAGTAAATCCAGAGTCAGAAGGAAGGAGACATGGCAGAACCATTCATTACTATAAGAATTTGACACACTTATACTCTATGAAAAAATAAGACCAAAGCTTCAGGTTTGCAGAGATGTATTTTTATTTAAATAATGAAACTTCCAAATCTGTTTCTAAAAACATTAAATTGCCATATATTATAGAGGAGTGTTATAATATACAGTGTTGACATGGCTGACTTTTTTAAACCTCATAAATCGGTCATTTATGTCATTATACAGACATGCCGGTATGGTTTTGGAGTATTACATTAGGCATTCATCTTGAAATTCTATGGGTATACGAATGTGATTTTTAAAGATATGCCCAACACAATTCATATGAAGCATGTTTTATGTTTCATCAATAGAACAAGAATATAAAATTACCATGACTGACTTTTTGTCGTTAGCTGTGAAAGCTCAACCAAAATCTCCCCTACGCTTCTGTCCTTATGGAGTCATGCAACTCTCCAACATTTCCATAAGCATTACAGAGTCCCTAAACTCTGACTAATCAACTCCATGAGACTATCCTTGATGTATTTATGACTTCCCCGTACAGGAGAATAGAATTTATTCCAATGCAAAATTGCACCGTGCCTTAAATATTAGCCACAGGGAACTCTTCACTTCGGCGTAATCCATAGTGGTTGGAATTTATTGCCTACTAAGTTCATCCATGCCACTAGTCATTGCACAGGGAGCCGAAGTTGTGAATGACAGCAATTCCGGGTAACCTGTTTATGTCTAATTTATGGTTATTTGTCTGGATTAAGAGCGGGACCCTCACAATATTACATTTAAACTCCTTGAAAGTCTGTGACCTTTCTATCCCAGAGCCACACTCCCTTGTAAAATTCAAGTGAAGATGACACGTTTTATATGTCTTTCTTGACATATTTAGAAGAAAATTAGCTGCAGATGAGTATAACTCACCTGGTTGTCCTCCAAGGGTTGTGCCAAAAATAGCAGTAGGCATACTTATTCTGTTTTCACTTGACAATTAAAACAGGGTCTCATTTTACTAGCCTATTAAAGCAGCCATATAAAAAGAGGTAGATAAGACACAGGGGTCATTTACTTTAAATTATTTCAGTGAACCTTCTACAATTTAATCCTTTAAAAGAGTCTCTTAGCTGAAGCTTGAAGGTTTTCAGGTGGGCTTGCTGGCTATTCTGTTGCAGTCAGTGATGTTTTATTGAAGGGGCCCTCCTAAAATGGTTCACTTTGGCAATTTTTTTGTATATTCTAATTTTGGAAAGTTACCAATTTTTTTCAAAGTGCACTACCTGTAAAATGGTGTTTGGCATCTCAAGTACTTTTGCTTCTGATATCAATAATGAATACACAGTTTACTTTTGTGTTCCAACCTCCAGTTTTAGTGTTGGCATGTAAGACAAGCTTTTAGCTATTCCCATTTCTCCAGTGTGTGCTAATATTAATGTCTGTGGTCATTAGTAGCATTTAGGTGATTTTTACCTATATAAATTGGGGGAAGGGACAGTACATGCATTATTACAAAACTGCAGTATTATTTCTTGTAAATTATGAAGATGACGTTATCCTCAGTCACGGAATTTATTACATGTTCGTGTGATTTTCTTTCATGTCACTTGGGGTTTCTATAAACATGACTTCACTGTCTTCATTGATGTCAGTTAAACGTCACATGGTGGAATGATTCACAGCTCATGTAAAGAGCTTCACCCGTATTTTAAGAATACCACCACTTACCTATTCCATTCTTTTTGTCTTTGTTGCTCATGAAAGTACCTTCTTATTAGATAACATTTTGCTGCCATTTGAACACATTTACAGCAACATTCTTCTTATCTCTAGGTGTGGCATGCAGATGTTGTCATGGTGTTTTCCTCCATCCCAGGGATCTTTGCCCTATTGCCTGGAATGACTTCATCTAACTATGAAGCAACTTGTCCTATAATCCAAAATTATTAGTTTATATTGTATAGATTCCATTTATTTAGTTTTTATGGAAGGATCCTGCCTATTAGTTTTAATCGACACATATGTGCTCGTGTTATGAAGCAAATGTAATGTCTTGCTTCCTGTATACTGGTGATAGTCCACTTAGGGAGTTTTCAGGTACAGGACTCTTAATCAGGAAGTGGAGGATGCTGTGCAGATGGATGAATAGTCACTAGTTCATTTATGTTATATGCACCTCCAAAACATGACAAGAGATAATGCTGAATGTACCACACTTACATTAAAAAGAATCTAAGGTTATGGAAATGCATTGTAAGTGTTGGCAGTAAATTCCAAGCATGTGGGAACTGCGGTGCTATCACATCAACCTTGCTGGATTCCCACTGTCAGAGCTGAGCAGATAAGCACTAGAGATGTTTTAAACTTTCCCTCAGTCATTCAGACAGTATTTCTGGAAGGAGGGTGGGGAATGAGGTTGGTGACTCTGATGGCATTTATTCATCTGTCCCAAGCACAGAGGAGCTGGTAGGTACGGGGAAAGGACTAGTACTTGAACAGCACCCATGATTTGAGGGGGCTTCCAGTCTCCTCAAGAGACACCGAATGAAACAAACATACAAAGGACAGAATTCATGAAGTTGCAAATGAAAGTACAGTAGAGAAAAATTAATAGCGGAAGTTAGTTGAGGCAGGGTGGACACAGGATATTTAAGACAGGAAGGGCCTCTATGGAGTCATTTGCGACAAAACAACATTTAGATGGAAATTTGATAAGCCTGAATGTGATAAAAGCGGTGCATATAGAAGAGATGAAAGATGAACAATGTATATGTATGTGTGTGTGTGTGTGTGTGTGTCTGTGTGTGTGTATATGTATGCGGATTGAATTTGATTGCCTTGTGAGTCATTTTTTTGCCCATGTTAACTTTATCATTAATGAACATACTATTCTCATAAAAAGTAAATAAACAAAAATTATAAAGTTTCTCATTCCTCTGTTTATTGCTACTTTGCTGTCAAAATAATAAATAAATAAATAAATAAAGTTAATGCCATTGTTTCTTCAGACTTTATGAAAAAAATTGTGTTTTCTTCCAGAAAAATTTCAGTATCAGTTTTGTGATCTTATTCATCAGCAAAATTCTATTATCATATTAGCACTGGGAGCCTTGTATGTTTAGACATGGAAGTAAACAATGAAATCATCATGATTGTCTTCTTTTACTTTTAAGCTAGGACAACATCACCTTGTTTCCTAGCTTTCCATAGTGCAATGAGCAAAAGTTATTAAAATAGGAGTCAGTGGCCAAGTGTCTCTACATTGCTCAGACATGACCAAAACTGTGATTAAAAAGATGCAATTTCTCCCCGCAGCCTCCAATGAACATACACTCCATCGTGGTGCAGGTCCAGTGTGTCAACAAGAAGGTCGGCACGGTTATCTACCATGAAGTGCGGATCGTAGTGAGGGATAGGAACGACAACTCACCCGAATTCAAGCACGAAAGCTACTATGCCACAGTGAACGAGGTCTGTGCCTTGTGATGGCGTATGTGTGTACTTACATTATAAACCTGCGAGACTCCATTGTAACCATGACTAACGTGCCTAGATGTGATAGGAATGTACTGTAAGAGCTTACGCTTAGAAAAGCCGCATTCTGGGAACTTGTAATAGCATTACAGAAATGCATGTTGCTGCAGAGAAAAAATGCAAAGAACTAATTTTTTATTATAAAATATATTGAGAGAATTCAAGGCACGCTACTGATGTTTATTTATTGGAAAGTGTGCAAAAATGCCTTCATGTTTATGAAATAATTTCACTAGATAGTGGAAGAAGTTATTTTGTGAGATGGTTTATTTACAGTTATTGGTTAATATTTATTGTAATTAGTATTATGATTTTCTTTCTTTTTTTTTTTTGTTTTAAGACATTGTCACTCCATAGGACAATTTACTCTAGCCTCAAATTCCAAACTCATGGTGGTCCTTCTACCTCACCTTCTCTAGTATCAAATTACAAGAGAGAACCAAGTACTATCCTGTTAAGTATTATTATTATTATCATCATTACTATTATTATTAATTATTTACAATTTATTCACGTTGTATCCTGCTGTAGTCCTCTCCTTCATCTTCTCTGGGTCCCACCCTCCTTTCCTCTTCCTCCTCTATCCCTCTTCCATAGTTCATTGATAGGGGAAGTCTTTGTCTCCTACTGTCTGACCCTAGCCTAGCAGGTCCCATCGGGACTGCCTGGATCCTCTTCCTCTGTGGGCTGCCTGGGTCGCCCCACCAGGGACAGGAGATCAAGTCGTGGCAGGCAATCGAGTTCATGTCAGAGACTCTTCTCCTCTTACTAGGGAACCCACATAGAGACTGAAATGTCCATGGGCTACACCTGAGCTGGGGGTCTGGGTTCTTTCTATGTTTGTTCTCTGGTTGATGCATCAGTCTCTGCAGTTTTCCCTGGGCCCTACATTTTTGGCTTTGTTGGTCTCCTTGTGTGGCTCTGGGTCCTTTTATGCCCCCACTCTTCTTCCATAAGACTTCCTGATCTCTGTTCAAAGTTTAGCTGTGAGTCTGTGCATCTGTTTCAGTCCCTGCTGGTTGGAGTCTTTTAGAGGACATCTGTGGTAGGCTCCCATCCTGTTCCATCTCTTCTACTGCTTCTGGTGTCTATCTTGTTTTCCCTTCTGAATGACAGTTGAGCATTTTCCCTAAGGGTTCTCCTTGTCATTTACCTTCTTTAAATCTGTAGATTTTAGTATGTTTATCTTATATAATATGTGTAATATCCACTTATAAGTGAGTATATACCATGCATATCTCTCTGACTCTGGGATAAAGAACTCAAGATATTAAACACCAACAAAACAAATGGGGTTTGGAGGTAATCAGAGACTTCTCAACAGAGGAATATCCAAATGGTGGAGGAAAACTTAAAATAATGCTCAATGTCCTTAGTCATCCGGGAAATGCAAATCAAAACGACTCTGAGATTCTACCTCAAACTCATCAGTATGGCTACGATCAAAAACTCAAGTGATAACACATGCTGTAGAGGAGATGGAGAAAGGTAAACCCTCTTCCATTGCTGAAGGAAATGCAAACTTTTGTAACCACTCTGGAAATCAATCTGGTGCTTTCTCAGAAAATTGGAAATAGTGCTAGCCTGTTACATTTTAAAAGTCAATTATATGGTACCCAGAAGCTTCAAACAGAAACCACAACCATATTCTTTTTATTTTATTTTTATATATAAATTCTTATATGGAAATGGTGATGAAGATATTATAGAAATATCGTAACAGTGATATTATTCCTTCTGGTTTTTTTTTTTTGTTTGTTTGTTTGTTTTTTGTGGAATAGTTTGAAGAGTACCGGTGTTAGCTCTTTTTGAAGGTCTGGTAGAATTCTGTGCAGAAACCATCAGGCCCTGGGCTTTTTTTGGCAGGGAGATTTTGATGACTGCTTCTATTTCCTTGGGGGATACAGGACTGTTAAATCCAATCACCTGATCTTGGTTTAGCTTTAGTAAATGGAATCTATCAAGAAAATTGTCCATTTCATTTTGATTTTCAAATTTTGTGGCATATAGGCTTTTGAAGTAAGACCTAATGATTCTTTGAATTTCCTCAGTGTCTGTCATTATTTGCCTGCTTTTGTTTCTGATTTTGATGATTTGGATAGTTTCGCTCTACCTTTTAGTTAGTTTGGCTAATGGTTTGTCTATCTTGTTGATTTTCTCAAAGAACCAGCTCTTGGTTTCATTGATTCTTTGAATTGCTTTCATTGTTTCTAGTTTATTGTTTCAGCCTTGAGTTTGATTGTTTCCAACTGTGTCTATTCCTCTTGGTTGTGTCTGCTTCTTTTTTTCCTAGGGCTTTTAGGTGTGCCATTAAGTTGCTTGTATGAGATGTCTCAAACTTCTTTCCAGAGGCACTGATTTCCTCTTAGCACTGTGTCCCATAAGTTTCGGTAAGTTGTGCCTTCATTTTCATTGGACTTTAGGAAGTCTGTAATTTATTTATTTATTTTTTATTTCTTCCCTGATCCAGCTGACATTGAGTAGAGAGTTGTTTGGTTTCTATGCATGTGTAGGCTTTTTGTTATTTCTGTTGTTGTTAAGGTCTAGTTTTGGGCTATGGTGGTCTGATAGCATACAAGAAATTATTTCAATCTTCTTGTATCTGTTGAGGTTTGCTTTGTGTCCAAATATATGGTCAATTTTGGAGAAGGTTCCATGGGGTGTTGAGAAAAACTCAAACTATTTTGAGTTTGGTTGAAAGGTAGTGTAGACATCTATTAGGCCCATTTGATTTAGGATCTCTGTAAGTGTCATTATTTCCTTATATAGCTTCTGTCAAGATGATCTGTCCCTTGATGAGAGTGGAGTGTTGAAGTCTCCCACTATTAAGGTGTTGGGATCGATATGTGATTTGAGCTTTAATAATGTTTCATTTACAAATGCAGGTGCTCTTATATTTGGGGCACAGATGTTCAGGATTATGATATTCTCATGGTGGATTTTTCCTTTGATGAAAATGAAGTGTCACTCTGCATCTTTTTTTATTAATTTTGGTTGAAAGTCTATTCTATTAGATACTAGGATATCTACTCCAGCTTGTTTTCTGGGTCTGTTGGCTTGAAAAACCTTTTTCCAGCCCTTTACTCTGAGGTAGTGTCTGACATTGTTGCAAAGGTGTTTTACTTGGATGCAGCACAATGCTGGATCCTGTTTCTGCAGCCATTCTCTTAGTCTGTGTTTATATTGGAGAGTTGAGTCCATTGATATTGATAGATAATAGTAACCAATGAATGTTGGTTCCTTTTATTGTGTAGTTGGTGGTGATAGTGTGCTTGTGTGCTTATTTTCTTTTTTTTTGTGAGATTATCTATGTCCTATTTTTTCTTGGATGTAGTTGATTTAATTAGATTGGAGATTTCCTACCAGTATCTTCTGTAGGGGTGGGTTGTGGTGTTTATATTGTTTAAGTGTAATTATGCCATGGAATATTTTGTTTTCTCCATCTATGTTGAGTGAAAGTTTTGCTGGGTATAGCAGTCTGGGTTGGCATCTGTGGACTCTTAGTGTCTGCGTGATATCTATGAGGCCACAGTAACCTTGATACCTAAAACACACAAAGACCCAACAAAAAAGGAGAACTTCAGACCTATCTCTCTTACGAACATTGATGCAAAAATACTCAATAAAATACTCACAAACTGAATCTAAGATCACATAAAAGATATCATCTACCATGAGCAAGTAGGCTTCATCCCAGGTATGCAGGGGTAGTTCAGTATATGGAAATCCATCAATGTAATCTACCACATAAACAAACAGAAGGGGAAAAAAACACAGGATAATCTCCTTAGATGCCAAAAAATATTTGACAAAAATCCAATACCTATTCATGTTTAAAGTTTTGGAGAAATCAGGGAAACAAGGCATATACCTAAACATAGTAAAGGCAATATACAGCAAGCCTATAGCCAACATCAAGCTAAACAGAGAGAAACTTAAATAAATCCCACTGAAATCAGGAACAAGGCAAGGCTGCCCACTCTCTCCATATCTTTTCAACCTAGTACTTGAAGTCCTTGGTAGAGCAGTAAGACAACTAAAGGAGATCAAGGGAATACAAATTGAAAAGGAAAAACTCAAAGTATCACTATTCACAGATGATATGATAGTGTACCTGAGTGACCCCAAAAGTTCTACCTAAGAATTCCTTCAGCTGATAAATGCCTTCCATAAAGTGGCTAGATACAAATTAATTCGGAAATCAGTAGTTCTCCTGTATACAAAAGTCAAAAGGACTGAGAAAGAAATTAGGGAAACAACACTCTTCACAATAGCCACAAATAACATAAAGTACCATGGTGTGACTCCTCTAACCAAGCAAGTGAAAGACCTGTATTAAAAAAAAAAAACTCTGAAAAAAGAAATTGAAGAAGATATCAGAAGATGGAAAGAGTTCCCATGTTTACAAATAGGTAGGTTTGACATAGTGAAAATGGCCATCCTACCAAAAGCAATCTGTAAATTCAATGCAGTTCCCATCAAAATACCAACATAATTCTTTACAAAACTTGAAAGAAAATTCTCAATTTCATATGGAAAAACAACAACAAAAAATTAGAATTGCTAAAACAAGCCTGTACAGATCCTGTGATGGTATTTCCATCCCTATCTCAAGCTACATTACACATCAATAATAATAAAAAATGCATGGTACTGGCATAGAAACAGAATGGTGGAACAATAGAATCAAATAGAAGACCCAGAAATAAACCCATACACCTACAGATACTTGATTTTTGACAAAAAAACCAAAGCAATATAATGGAAAATAGATAGCATCTTCAACAAATGGTGCTGGTCCAACTGGATGTCTACATGTAGAAAAACACAAATAGATCCATATTTATCATGTGCACAAAACTAAAGTCCAAGTGGATCAAAGACCTCAAGATAAAAGCAGACACACTAAATCTGTTAGAAGAAAAAGTGGGGAAGAA